CAGCGGGCCAGGCAGACTCTAGCACGCCCTCTGCCCTGTTACCCTGCACCCTGCCGGCTACTTCCTGCTCTACCACACTCTTTTTTCCACTCTCTCCCAGGTACAGGGCTCTCCTGCCTCCCCTGGGTAGGGCTGGGGCCTAAGGCCAGCTCTCATTCCATGCTGAAACACAAGGGCAACAGAAGCATCAACCAGGTCTCCAGGGAGGGGACCAGGGCAGCCCAGGGAAGGTGGCTGGGAGGAATGAGGTTTTCTGGGAGAAGTTGTAGAAGGAAGCCCAGCCCCCAGGGTGCAGAAGTTGGAGAGGGTGGTGGGCCTGAGCTGGCCCATCCCGACTTATGAACCCTTCACTGTGCCTGGGCCCTTGGAACAGACAGAAGTGAGGTGGCAAGCAGGTGTCATTTTGTGGCTGTGACAGCTGTCACTTGTAGTCCCTCAGGGGGAAATGCCTTCCCGGTGACACTCAACCACAGGTGCTCCTTATCTTACAATGGGACTACATCCTGGTGAGCCCGTGGTAAATTGAAATAATCAAAGCTCAAAAACACATTGAATATGTGTAATTCACCCAACACCACAGCTTAGTGATGCAGTCAGTGTACTACGAAGAACTGTTTCCTCCTGTGATGCTGCAGCCCACTGCCCAGCAATGAGGGGGAATGTCATCCTGCAGGTGTCACCAACCCAGGAAAACACCAAAATGCATAATTCAAGTCTGGTTTCTATGCATTATAGATCGTAAGCTGGAGAACATCTGTGCTGAGGGCCATTACCAAGTAGGTATTGACGCATCGTAATCCACCTACTTGGTAATGGCCCTCAGCACATCTGCACATTCAATTCAGTCTGATTTTCTAGATTTTGTGACCTCAGGCATATTCCTCTGTGTCTCTGGGGCTTATGTCACCATTAAGGACATGGCAGTGATTTGCTAGAAGTAATGATCACTGCTGATATTTTAGGTGGCTCTCTGCCTCAGTCACTATTCTCTGTGCTTTTCCCAGACGCACAGTTATGACAAGGGTTAAATGAGATTGACCAATATAAAGGCCAGTACTCAAGAGGTACAAAGCCCTCTGAGGACAGCTAGGGACAATGGAAATGTTCTCAGCCCTTCAGCTGCCCACACTTCGGATTTTAACCATCCTATAGCATGGTCCTAGAAGGTACCCAGAGCTCAGTAAAATGGCTTGGGCTACAGGCACAACCAAGGAATCCAGATAGTCTAGACACCTCTGATCTTTCAGGAAYGTATCTTTAATACCCAATMTTGTTTAAAAAGAAAACGTAAAGCACTKTATTATTATTGGGTGTTTTATTTGGTTTCAGTAGAGAAAATGGGTCACACTCAATTGAATGTGGAGAAGTTSACATGCTCAGGAGGTCATGGCAGCATTCGGGGAAGGGAGGATCCAATCAAGCCCTGGCAATCTCTGCTCCAGTGGCTCTGAGTGTCAGTTCTGCTCTCGGTTTAGGAGAGACACCATCTCTAAAGCCTGGCAGATGCTGTGGGCTGTTCTAGCTCATGGCTGGCGTGTGCTTCACTGGTAGTGAGCAAGTCTGAGTCCTGGGTACAGTCTGAAGACAAGGTTGGGCAGAGAGGAGCATAGAGTGGTGGAAATGGCAGGGGGCTGGCTGCCGCGTGCTGGGCTGGGCAACTGGCTAGAGAGGCCAATGTAATTGATTTCCCTGGTGGCTCTCTTCTGTGGTCTGCCCGTTGACCAGGGAAGGGTCAGCCACGGTTCATCTTTCTTGGAAACACATACTGAGTTTTTCTCCGGGTAGTACCTCCTCGGCCACTTCCTGCGGGTTAGATGAGGCCTTTCCCAGGAGGGGTTGGGGGTGCTCAGACAGCAGATCAGATCTGCACATCTTCGGACACCACCCATCCCCTCGTCCAGGTCAATTCTGGGGTCACAGTTTGACACTCACAGGGACCCAGGGGATGTCTGCAGAGATGAACAACAGAAGGCAGGGGCGGTGGGGTCCTGGGTTTGGAAACGGGTTTCCCCAGCTCGGGGAAGAGCCCCCCGCCCTTCAAGACAGCTCACAGGCCCCCAGCCTCCCCTGGGTCTCCCCCGCCTCACAGGTGATGGTCCTCCGCTTACTCTTTCGGTTTTGGGGTCTGTAAAGAGAGGGTGGAGATTCGGGAGGAGCGTGGTGCTCACCTAGGAGCGGCTGAGGGTCCGGCTCCTCTGTCCTCCCGGAGCCCCGCGCCTCGCGCCCCGGCATCGACTTACAAGCAGGGGACCCAAACGGGACTCTTGGATGTCTCTGCTCCTTCCTCGCTCTAGTGTGGTCCTTCCTCGCTCTAAAGCCTCGTGTGGTCGCGGCGCCCGGGTTTCCCGTCGGTGAAAGGGGACCCGATCCTCTGCGGACCCCTGCAGCGCCCGGCGACTCTGCCCGCRGCCCGAGGATGCTCCGCGGTGACCACGCCCCCCGCCCCCCGCGCGGCCCGGCGGATGAGGGGCGTGGTCTGCCGGCTCAGCGTTGCCATGGGGACGCGCGTACACAGGCGGGGCGGCCGCGCGGGGAGCGGGCGGCCAGCTGGAGACTCCGCGGAGCGCGGCCCGCGGCCTGGCCGCTGAGCGGGCTGGCGCTTACCGAGCCCGCGGGGCTCTCGGCCGGGAACTGGGCGGGGGGCCAGGTGAGTGCGGCTCGCCAAGGGGAACCGGCCCACGAGGACCGGGCTGGAGGGAGGAGGCGGGGGTGACTGGGTCCCCAGGAGCACCCAGAGGAGCTGCCCCTACACCCTTCCTTCCTCCCCAAGCGCAGCCACCCTGTCCCCCCCCCCGAGGTAGCCCGCCCAGGAGCCTGAGGCCACTAGGATGTCCAGGGGGTATGTCAGGGATTAGGAGGGAGCCCCAGCTGCCAGTGGCCAGAGAGAGCCTCTTACCTCACCTCGCCTTGCCAGGTGTCCCCTGGAGAATCTTCTGCATCTCCCAGGCCCCCTACACCTTTGGCCTTCATAGAAATTTAGCTGACCCATCTTTGGCAGGAGGAGTGCAGCTCTTTGGCTCTTTACTCTGATCAGCGGCTCCACTGTATCAAGTAAAAGCTCACTTAGAGCTTAACATATTCGAATTACTTTCTGCAGTGTTTTCAGACAAGAGGGTGAATGCACAAGACAAGATTAAAGTGGAGAGACATCACCTGACCCAGACAGCTTTAAAAATAGACGTTGAGTTTTCCAAAATGTCACTGAGGCTAGACCCTGAAGGAAACCTGAAAGGTGGTTACCCATCAGAGATTAGGAAGTGGCAGACTGACTTGGGGGCATTGTTTTGTAATCTCATTTATTCAGTAAGAATTTGCTGCCAGGCATGGCAGCTCTGGGGGCTGGAGATAAAGTAATGAACAGGAATTAGAGAGGGCCTGAGATTTTTACCCCTATCTGCAAGTTAACAAACTTAATAGATGCTGGCAGAAGGCAGGAAACTCCTGGGCAAGAGATGGAGAACTTTATTACTCACCACACAGCAAGCTGTGTGAGCTTCCTGTGGCAAGGGTTCCTCTGGTCCCGCAAGCCCTGCCCAGTGAAGGCAGCTAGTGAGTCTTGAGTTCCAGCTAAGGCACTCCGAGCCCAGGGAACTCCAGTCTCAAAGGGACTTCGAGCAAACCTTGGCCCTAGAAGAGGACATTACCTTTATGATATGCAAATTTGCCCCCTGCCCTAGAGGGAGACACTATCTCTAACCTAGTAGTTCCATGCAAGGGCCAGAAGTTCTCTCCCTGCCACTTAACTTCTGCGTGAACTTAACCTCTCTGAGTCTGTTTCATCATCGGTAAAGTAGGGACAATACCTTGCAGGGTTGCTCTGAAGATGCAGAGTAATCATGTGTTCAAGGGTGACAAGGCCTGGCACTCAATAAGTGACGACAGAGATGATGATGAGAAGCAGAGCCCCCGAGAGCTGCTACCATCACAGCTAGGTGATTATTATTTTTATCCTTAAGTCCAGCTACTTTGCATTTCAGCGCCTTTTCAGTTGAAAAGAAAAAGGAGRGACGTTGTTCCTCCATGTGACATTGATGTACGTGGACGTAGCTTGATCAGAATTCAAGCAGCAGATGAATTGTTATCAGCATTGTACAGACTTCTGAAGTCTCCAAAGCATTTTGAAAAAACATGTTTACAACTTATTCTGAAATGCATCAAAGTATAAGATAGACAGTGGTGTCTACTTCTTTAAAGTTCTCTGTATATTTAATATTTTCATAATAAAATGTTGGGGTGGGGATATGTGCAGAGTCCTGATCACGTGATCAAGCTATAACCTGTTACTTTAATTTTAGAAACCACTCTCTTTTWTTTCCTAGCCAAGTATGTAAAGAAATGCAGGAATTTAGAAAGAAAGTATCTAATGCCTGCTTCATCAATGACTAGCTCTCTGCACCTCAAGCTCTGTGGAAGCCTGGGGCTCAAAGTTTGAGAAGCCCAGGCTAACAACAGCATTAATAGCAGTAGTACTAATCTGTGTGCAAAGTGAGCTCCGTGCCATTCTCCGTATTTCACACGTATGATTGCAGTTAATCCTCACCACACCCATTTTACAGATGAGAAAACTGGGGGGGCACAGAGAGAATAAGTAACCAGCCAAGGTCACAGAGCTAGTCAGTGCTTGGTTAGAAATACTGACTGTGAATATGTCAGATAACTAAATTGATGAGTGGTGGGTGGCAGTTATCAGTGGGATTCAGGTTTGTCTGGGGGTTGTTTCAGCTTTGGTTTGTGCCCTGAGTGCCACAGCAAATGTCTTCTGTTTATCAGACCCAAACTCTTCTACGTCAGACAGCACTGTCAGTTAGCAGAGACGCAGACTTGGCTTGGTGATCACGGTCACGACCGGGGCCCACGGCCGTCTGCAGACTTTCCCTTTGCTTTCAACTCGATGGGGATTTCATTCATTCTAAAACTGATACTGTTGAGTGGCTGGAGGGAGGGCTGCATGTTTCTAACAAAATTCTTTCTGAAAACCTCATACAGGAAAAGAAAAGAGAATGAAAGCCTATCTAAAGAGTGCCGAGGGCTTTTTTGTCCTGAATAAAAGTACCACAATTGGGAAGCACGAGGATTCAGACCTTGTTTTGGAGGTAAGAAGGCTCACCAGCTGCCGCCCACCCCGACCTCAGCCCCACGCCCCTCCAGCCATCCCCCGCACCCAGGGACTCCCACCTCTTGAAGCACAGCAGCCACAGCGCTCCTTGTGCTACCAAGAATCAATGTGGACTGTGTCACCTTTCCCTGGGATAAGCGGAGCCCCTGAGCACGGGCAGCATGACAGCCAGTCTGTCCTTTSCYGAACACATCGTGGATGCCCCACTGAAAGGCCCTGCACAGCCTTCTGGGCGGATCTGGAAAGCAGGTGAGGAGCCGGTACACTGACCTCCACCTGCTCTGGTCTAGGCCTCGCTCCCTCTTTTGGAGAGGTGGGTAACTGGGGATGGAAGCCACAGGCACTTAACCATGGAGCCACATCCCAGCCCTTTGTAGTTGTGAGACAGGGTCTCACTAAGTTGCTTAGAGCCTCACTGAGTTGCTGAGGCTGGCTTTCAACTTGCAACCCTCCTGCCTCAGCCTCCCAATCCGCTGGGATTACAGGTCTCTTCTCAAAGCCTGTTGGGACAGTTCTGGGCCCCTCAGAGCCCATCAGGCTAAGTCCTGGACTYGGCCACCGCACCTTTTTCGTTGCATTTCCTTCCTGACTTAGCACTAGTTTGGTTGAAAGCCTCAGCTCACTGACAGTCAAGGAAGTTGGAAAAAAGAAAGGAATAATAAAAACAGCGGCCTTGCCCCTTTTTAAATATTGAAGGGGGTTAAAATATTAAAGTGGAAAGAGAAACAGCAGAATCCTCTATGACTGTGGGAAGCAGCTCTCTCAGACTTGCTCAGCTTACATGCTGAATTTTTTTTTTTTTGAAATAATAATTATAGAGAGATGGAGTGTGCGCGGCAGCCAGTGATCCCCAGTGGATGCATATTATGTGAGTCTAACAATATCAAAACCAGGAAGCCGACCTTGGTCCTCTGTGTGTGTGTGTGTGTGTGTGTGTGTGTTCTTGTGTCATTGTGTCACACGTATAGGTTCATGTGTAGCAACTGAGTGGCAGCACCATAGGCCCCTTGTGGTACCCCTGGGTAGTCACAGTACCCGCCCCCATCCGTGACCCCAGCAACCACTCATTTAGTCTCCATCTCTGTAATTTTCAGAGTGCTACATAAATAAAGTCACACAGTGAGTGACCTTTTGAGACTAGGGGTTTGTTTTTGTTTGTTTTTCGTCGGCCTTTGAGATCCATTTAGACCATCCCTGGGTCCTTCTGGTTGCTGGACAGCGTCCATGTTAACCATGCACACTCCAAAGCACAGTTTGATGGTGGCCAGTTTGAGGATTTTTGTAAAGAAACCGTGGTGTCCAGGTTCTTGGTGGACATGTTTTCATCTCTCAGGATCAATGCCTGGGAGCGTGAGGCAGGACCACATGGTAAATGCAAGAAGTCACCAGCTGGTTATCCAAAGTGGCCGGACTGTTTTACATTCCCACCAGCGATGCGMGTGTGACGGCAGGCTCACTGACCACCGTGTCGCCCTGCTGTCCATGTGGGTGTCCTGGTCAGCAGCTGTGGCACCTCACGCTCTTGGTCTGCGTTTCCCCAGGGGCTAGTGAGGTWGGGCATCTTTTCCGGAACGTCGCTGCCTGTTCCCGTCCTCGGAGGTGAAATGCTCCTCCCTGCCTCGGGTCCTTCTCCCGGTTGGACGGCCTGAGCCTTCTCTGTGGGCTTCTGAGAGTCCTTGTCAGCTCCCTGGCTGTGACTGTCTCCTCCCGCCTGTGGCTGGTCTCTTCACCCCACAGGGCTCTCACGGGACAAAGCTTTCRCTCTTGAGGAGGGGGACGCCTCCCTCTTTGGCGGATCCTCTGGCGTCACGTCTGGGACACGTCCATGTGCGCGTTAAACACCGAGGTCTCTCCGACSTTCTCCTCTAGCCGTTTTGACATTGTGTGTTTATATTCAAGTCTACACACGACTCTGATCCCTTCTTGTCACATCCTAAGTCCAGGTCGGTGTCCGTTATTTGGCCCGTGGGTCGGCAGTCGCTGGAGGACCATTTCTTGGAAGAGCACCGTTGAATCGCTTTTGTACTTTTCTCTGAAGTCCTCTGGCTGCACGTGTGTGGGGACCATGTGAGCTCAGTGTCATGTTCGGTGGATCTCTGTGCCCGTCCCTCTGCTGACGTGAGGCAGCCGGGACCACGGCAGCTCTCCGAGCCTTCAGCCGTCAGCGGGCTTCTTCCCGCTTCATTCCTATTTTTCAAAATTGCCTATTTTAGTTCCTCTGCTTTTCCATATAGATTATCAGAATCACCCTGTTTATATCTATAAAGCGTCTTGCTGGGATTTAGGCAGGAACTGCTTAAACCTGTGTTTAAAAGCCTGAGAAGAATGGTTATCTGGACAATGTCATCTCGCAGCCGTGAATGAGGAGTGTCTCCGTTTATGGGGTCTTCTTTGATCTCTTTCTGAGTCTTTTATAGTCACAAGTCCTGGGCACATTTCATTAGATTTGTGCATAAGCATTTCTCTTTGGTCATTATTGATGGTAAACAGTATGATACTCTTAATTTTGGTTTCTACCTATTTACTGCCAGAATATAGAAATATGGGGTGGGTGGGTGGCTGGTTGGTGCATGCTCACAGGGTAACTTGCAACCTTAACTTTCAAGGGATTTGATATGTAAATAACCACATCATCTGCAGCAGGAACAGTTTCACGTTTTCCCTTTGTGATCTCTATGCCTTTAATTTAACTTTCTTATAATATTGCAATGGCTAGGACCTCCAGTACTCTGTAGGGCAAGAGTAGTAGAAGTAGTGCAATCTTCATATCTGCCCTATTCTCGATTTTCAGGGGACAGCATAATCTTCTGCCGTTAAATATGATGTTAACTCCAGTGAGTTTGGAGAATGTTCTTTAACAAGCTGAGGAGGTTCCCCTGTGTTGCTAATTTTCTGAGAGTGTTCATCATAAATTTGGCAGATCTAATTTTCACCCGTGACACGGTCTCCCCACAAGGAAAAAAAGAAACCTGTTCGGTGACAAAGTAGTAAAAACAAAGAAAATGAGTTGAAGTTTCTTCTTAGCCCAAGAGTGAGATTTTAGGCAGTTCTGCTTCCCATCTGGCTGAGGTGGGAGCAGGGACTCTCCATTTTGGGTCCAATGATGATATCAGAAAACTAATAATTTTTAAAAGTGCAGGCTTTGGTGAAGACAGACCTGGGCTTGGGCTCTTCAGGCCGTTTTGCAGCTGTGTGACTTCAGGCAATTTGCCTCCTGGCTCTGAGTTCATTTCCCGACCTGTGCACCGCCCACCTTTCAGGAATGTGGGGATCAGTGAGAAAATGCATACAGAGTGCCGGGCACACAGCATGAGAGGGTGACACCGGGATCATTGCTTATGGTCTCATAAAATGAGACAGAAGCATTCACCGGGGTGCACAGGACTGAGACAGGGAGCCCCTGATACTAACGAGCTTTCGGAAAGGGAACTGAGGAGGATAGTCATCATATAGACAGAAACAGACTTGCACTTGGGGCATAAAAATGATGGACTGCTTTCTCTTCCTGGGCCTCAGCTTTAAGGTRAGTCACCACCGTCAGCACAGTCACGGTGACCTAGGAAGGAAGCACCATCTGCCTCGGGCTTGGGACAGAGGGCAGAGGAGTTGCCGGATGCTTGGTGAATGCATTTTTGATGGGTTCTCACATCTTCCCTTCGCCAAATTCTCTTCCCAGAGCTTAAATCCATGTGGGGAGGAGGCTTTCAGGGATGGGGGAAGGTCAGTTTTAAGTGCCCAAATCCACATCATGGCAGCATTTTCCTGTTTCATAAAACAAGGTGAAAACTGCCATCTGCTGACTCTGMTGGGCCTTTCTCATTAGTCAAAGAATCAGGCTGGATCCGCTAGGGTCCACCCTGAGGAACAGTTAAACAACCAATTGACCCTTTTGTGTTATTTGAGCCGTTAAAAGTCATCCCACTGCATAAAGTTCAAAAACCTAAAAAGAAAAAAAAATCTGCCTTAAAATTACCCAGCAATTACACTTAGCAAATTAGAAAAAGATCATCGTTTTATTTGCCTGGGTAAGCCCTGAAGAACAGGGAGCCTGGCTTCCTAAGATTCCCACTCATTGGCAAGACTGACGTATCATTTTGATTGTTAATATCATGACATTTTGACATTCTTGACATTTTCTGATTAAGGGAAGTACACTTTGTAGTCGTTTTTTTTTTTATTTTAATTGAAGAAAGGAAGCGCAAGGAAGAGAACGGGCGTCACTTGGAAGCGGGTGTCTCAGTGACGGTCAAGACTGGTACTTGCAGGGCTTGGCCTCCAGACTCGGCTGGACCCTGTAGGGACTTTGGTTTCCTAAGCCAATTGGAAGCCTGCTTTACCAGCCTGGTTTTTGCTCTTATCATTGCTTATTCATTCCACAAATATTCACCTGGAGCCTCAGCATGTGCAAGCCATGGGCAGTATCACGTCGGTGCCTGCAATCAGCAAGCTTCCAGGACAGGGAGAGGGGGTCACAGGATCCCACAGAAGTCTGCATGGTTTTGTGCCAACTCAGGACTCTAAAGGAAAAAATATATGCAGAGCAAGGGGGAGCCAACTAGACAAGAAGGGAGGTACAGGTGCAAAGGCCCTGGGGCAGTGGAATGTATGGTGAGCTCCCAGGACTGAAAAAAAAACCAGTGTGTCCAGAAGAAAGAATGGGAGGGGGGCTGAGACAGCAGGACTTCCTCCTGCCGGGAAAAGGATTCTGTTCTTTACCAGAAGAGCACTGGAAAGAGAGCCCTGAAAGAAGGGGGTGGCCTGCATTTTGACAGCTAAGACTTTCCCCACTTGACACAGCTGCAAATCCCCTGCTGTTAAACTCCCTCAGTTCAGAGCTAAACCTTGTGATTTATAATTTTATAGGATTTTTTATGATTCGTGAACAAACTATCATTTTTATAGTTGAATGTGAATACTATTTATTTATTTAAATTTTACTTCGAGACAAGGGTCTTGCCATATGGCCCAGGATGGCCT